GGAAGTGCAATTGGAGGGTAGGGGACAGGGCATCGGGAGGAAGAAAGTCAATCAATGGTAAGTTCATGGGGAGTTGCACTGAATCGCACTGGGCACCCTCCAAGTAACTGAGTAGAATAAACCTCAGAAATGCTAGAGACAGGATGGAAAAGACAGGCTCTTTATCCAGTGACTCCTCTCCCCATCGATGGGGGTATGAAGCCCCTGACGCTGCTGCGAGTTTCCTGCAAAGAGGTGAAGAAGCCTCCAGAAGGCTCCCTGGAAGTATTGTGAGAAATTGAAAGCACAAGGGAGCCTCAGCTGGCTGGGGCAATAGGGAGTTACCTGCAGGGAATGCCCGCTCGCTGCAGGGGTGCTCCGTGAAGAGTGGCTGTTGGGTGAAGGCAGATGGGAAGATGAAGATCATAATTTTGGGGCCATGAAGAGGGAGGCCTGGGCTCCTGATGTGCCCTTTACATGACCACACATGTGATCACCCAGAATTGCAATCACCCAGAAAGCTAATGGCCGGCTGGCCCTGTCCAAGACCACTTGGTGGTCCTCAGCCCCCACTTTCACTATAGCATTTTTTGCTGCAATCTGTCTGGATTTGCTTGTCTCCTGGCGATTTGCATCTCATTCCAAGCACAGACGACCCAGCCAGCCACCTGGGTTTTGTCCATTTCTGGACTCCAACTGGACATAGAGTCCTGGGCTCTTGCCTTGAGCTGTCTTCCCTTTGATATTTTTAAACATCAACACCAAATTCATCTACATATTTTCACAGCCAGGAATCATGTCCCTTCGCCTGAGAGATTCCCATGGTGCGGGACATCGGGTCAGTCTTTGACACTGTTGTATTTCCTCCATGTCCAGCTATTTCCGATCCCTCCCTTGAACTGCTAGATTAATGACAGTTACTAAAAGAGAAAAGAGGTTTCCAGAAGGAGACATGGGGTATCATCCTGTTTATTATCACAAACTCTCTGCCCAGGGGGTTCTGGTTTGATCCCTTTTTAAAAGTAGGATTACATGTGTACTTTCGTCCACTAGCAAAATGAAAACTTCAAAGAAATGTACATTGGAAGGGGCAGGCTATGGTCCCAGCCTGGGAATCTGCATTTTGAAATGAGCACGGGTGGGGGTGGGGTGGCTGTTGGGCACAGTGATGGGAATGTTGTCTCTCTGAGCTGCTCAGTGCCTAAGCCAGGAGCCACCTGCTGCTACCCAGCACTTCCAGAGCTGCCAGGGCAACTGAGGAATCCAATTTCAAAGTTGATTTAATTCATTGACATTTAAATAGTCACATTTAGGCTACTGTGTGAGATGGTGGAGCTCTTAATCCTCTTAATCAAAAACTCTCTCCAAGGCTGGGATTATGTTTTATTCATCTGTGTATTCTTTGCAGGATGGCATGTCAGAGAAACAATTATGGCAACAACATAATAATGATCATGACAATAATGCTTTATGTTACACTTAACTTGCACTTTGGGGACAGACTCTTTCATATGTATTATCTTCTGGAAGCTTCCTGGTAGCCCTTCTATTGGCTACCTGGAAACAATATTTTGTGAGTGCTGGCTTTGTGCCAGGTACTGTCCCACATGCCTTCCACGTGTGCCTTCAGACAACCCCATGGATCACCTCCATTCTGCAGAGGATGGCACTGAGGCCTGGGCTGGTCAGGTCCCTGCCTGAGTCACTCAGCTAGAGGGCTAGCTCTGGGTTTCGAGCCTAGGATCCAGTCTTGCTCCAGAAGATCCAGAAGACCTGCTGTGTAGAACCTGGCACTTGGCTCCTGAGAGAGAGCATCGTCTTGTGTAGCTTTTTCCTTTTGACAAGCAGGTGAGGGCCTCCCTGGTGGTGCAGGGGTTAAGACACAACTTATGAAGCAATCCACACCCACTGCAGCACGAGTTTGATACCTGGCCAGCCAGGGAGCAACCCACATGGCACAGCAGACCTCCCCTCTCTCCCCGCTGCTCCCCTCAGCAGTGGATTTCAATCAATCTGCCTGGTCTTTTTCCCACTCTGTCTCTGGTGAATCTTCTCACCCCCCACATCTCTGGCCTGTACCCCAATTCTTGTATAAAAATAAATCTTAAAAGAAAAAAAAAAGCAGGTCTGACAATGGAAAAGTAACACTTTCCCCAAAGCCTGAGCCAAAGACCGTGATATGCACATCCTGTCACTTAGAGATTCACAGGATGTGGGCAACAGGCGGGTCCTGGGTTTTGTTGAGTTTCCGCCATGTCTCGTGGGTATTGATGGATGGAGGGAAGGTGCTGGGTTTAGGGCCCTAGTGTCCCAAGCCAGGTCCATCCTGCTCTACTCCAACCATCACGCTTACCCCTTGCCCCTCCTTTCTGACCCTTTTACATCGAGCACCTTGCTCGTCGTCATTGCAGAACTGGTAAAAGCATCTCTTGCAGCGAGAGGGAGTAGGGTGGGGGAGAGAAGAGCATGGGTGGGGCAGGAAGGTGGCGGAAGGACGGACAGGGGAGCAGGAGGACTCACTGGATTCCTGACATTTACTGGATGCCAGTTATTGACAAGGCGCTGAGCTGGGTGCTCTCTGCCTGTTCAACCGCATTCTCATACCTGCTTGTGCAAGCACTCACTCTTCCAGGAACAAACTCCAGTGCAACGGGGACAAGTGTGCAAAGATTCTGCGCCCGCTGCTGGAACTGTATAGACCCACAATCTGGAAATATGGAATAGGGCGGAGATTGGGGTTTGAGTCCTGACACTGCCATTGATTTGCTCTGTGTCATTAAGCAAGCTGCGAACTCCTCCCAGCTTTGATTTCTTTGTCTCTGATACAGAATTAATAATAGCACCTACCATTGGGAAATGATGTGACATGATCCATCATCAATGTTGAGGACAGTGCCTGGTAGATAGTGAGTTCTCAGAGGACATCAGTGCCTGTGCCACTGGCATTGGCAAAACCTGTGCAAACAAGTCAAGAACCCCATTGCAAGCACTGCAGCCAATAGCACATCCTTAATAAGCCCCGACTGTGAGCAATCATCTCAATGATGAGGATGGGATAACTTGGATAACTGCTTATTGATTTCACCTGTAATTTTGTGCACAATGAGGAAGTATGTTTTCTTCACAATTCTCAGATATATTAACTTGAAATTTAGCGCGCTAATTCTAAATGGAACATGGAAATGCAGAGTTCCAAGGAGATCCGAGGAACTCTTGAAAAGAGACAAATTGGATGAAAATTCACCAAATAGTAGGACACATGAATTTTGTAAGAAGTAAATCAGCATGATACTGTTACAGAGTTAGAAAATTTGACCCAGGGAGTGGAATTGAATAAGAGCCTATTCCAAGAGAGGGGAACTTGATCCGTGAAAGAGATGATACTGTAATTTTTTGCCAACTTTAAGGGGGTGAGATATTTAAAAAGATTTTACATATATTTTGACTTTTTTTTTTTTTAATAGAGGCATGTTTTATTTATTTATTTGTTTGTTTGTTCGTTTTGTTTCGTTTACACATGCACTGGGTACAGTCAGAAGCGCGGGAGGGTGAGAGAATTCACCAGAGCCAGAGCGGGGAGCAGAACAGGCAGAAGGACCGAAGTACACTGCTGAGGGGAGCAGCGGGCGGCAGGAGAGGTCTGCGCGCCATGTGGGACCCTCCTCTGGTGGCCGGGGAGCAGCCGGGGATCGAACCGGTGCCGCAGAGGCTGCGGGCAGCTTCGCAACCCAGCGCTCAACCGCTGCGCCACCGGGGAGGCCCTATATTTTGACTTTTAAAAGAAGATTTCATTTTCAAATGGATTATAGGACAGTTGCAAATATAGTAACAGAGTTCCCACATATCTCCTACCCACTTCACCCATTGTTATTTTTTATTAGTAGGGTCCATTTGTAATAATTAAGGAATCAATATTAACACATTATTGCAGATGAAAGTTCATACTTTATTAATATTTCCTGACTTATTATCTTATGTGGCCCAGGGCACCACATTGCATTGGACTGTTGTGTCTCCTTGGGCCCCTCTGGGATGTGACAGTCTCAATCTCAGCTTGGATGGGACCCTCTCAAACTTTGTTTGTTTTGATGACCTTGCCAGTTTTAAGGCCTACTGCTGAGGTCTTTTGTGCACTGTCCCTCCACTGACAATTTTTCATGACCAGATGATGAGGAGTCACATTACACCTCCCACCCCTTCCACACTTACCCTTGGCAGGAAGTCACTATGGGCAACCTGCCCCGGAACAGAAAGTTATGGGCAGAAGAGCTACATGCATTTTTGGAATTCTGCAGATTTGCTTATTTCCCCTTCATATCTTTATGTACCCAAGCATCAAATGCTATCCATAGAGACCCATGACTATTTCTCTCATCCCTAGGGTTATAACCCTACCCAATTATAATTAATTAATTACCTACGAAGGAAGGGCCAGGGAGGGTTGCTGTGGCGGGCATACCCCACCCATTTCTAAAGGGGGTTTTGCGTTTGCGGCGACGAGGAAGCGCGAACTACATCTCCCAGGAGGCCTTTCGGCCGCGTCTCCGCCCCGCCCTCTCCCCGCCCCGCCCCGCCCTCTCCCCGCCCCTTGCCCCGCCCCTCCCGCGCCTTTGGTATTTAAGGGCCGAAAGGGCCGCCGCGGGCAGAGCGCTGCGGCGGCGCGCGCGGGCGGGGAGCTGCTGCGGGCCGGGGCGCAGCTTCTCCCGCTCCCCGAGCTCCTCTGCCCCGCGGGCGTCCACCCCCCGCCGCCCGGGGCCTGCGGACCTGCAGCCCGAGGCTGAGCGCGGCGCTTCCCCGGGCGCTTCCCTGGACCGGGCGGAGGGTCCCCCGGGACCTCGGCGCGCCCCGGCGGTGCCCAGCGGGGACGCGCGAGGGCCGGCGTCCGGCTGCTGCCCGCGGGGCGCCGGGCACCCCCTCTCCGCGCCGCCCCGCGTCGCAGCCCGACCTCGGACGCGGGAGCGCGGCCCCTTGGGGTCCCCCGCGCCCCACTCCCCGCGCCCTCCCCAGCCCCGCGCGCGGAGGCCGGGCTGACCCCGCGCTGCGGCCCGAGACGGAAAGTGGGGACGGGGCTAGGGGCTCCGGACCCCGAACGTGGATTACTTGGTGCTTCTCTGGCCGGCCGGCATCGGAGGACCCCGACCTCGCCCCTCTCCAGCGCGGGGTTCGCTGCGCAGCCGTCGGGGCGCGCCTGGACGGGGTAAGTGTCCCGGCCTCTCCGGGCAGGGGGTTCATTGGACGTGTTTTACCCCCGCGCCCCCCACTCCCGGCCCGTCCCCACGTCGCCTTTAGGTCTCCGGGCCTGGGTTGAAATGTTCGTTCTTGTGCTGGACATCCTCTGGGGGGCAGGTCACCCGGCCCGCGCCTCCCGGCGGAGCTGGTTGCTGGGGCGCAGTGGGCAGTGCCTTTAGTCCCCGAGGCTGCCCCCCTGGACCCAGCCCCAGCCTGGGAACGGGACCCCGCGTCCTCAGCGTCCTTTCCTCCTGTCGGGCTGTTATTTCAGGAATGCTGTCTCCTGGGCGAGCTTCCTGGCCATCCCCACGTAGCCACTGGCCATCCCCATGTGGCTGCAGCCTGGAGTCCCTCTCCTGTTGGCCGTGGGGATGGAGCTTTCCTGAGGGCCCTGGTCGCTGGTGCCCTGGCGAGCTGCTTGACTTTAAGGACTGGCCACCATCTGGTGCCCCCCAGGGCAAGCTTTCTGAATGGGTGAATGGGTGGAGATGGCAGGAATTAGGTCCAGTGGTTCGCGCTTCCCTACCGCCTTCTACCCTCCGGGCACCTGGAGGTCTCCTGGTGGAAGTGGGGACTGAGGCTTAGTCCAGAGTTCCAGCATCTCCCCCAGCGCACTCTCTCCTGCTCTTGTCCTTTTGTGTCTGTGCTGTGCTGGGCACTGTGCTGTCTGTCAAGGAGGACCCAGCAACACATGTTTGTTGAATGAATGGCTGAACGAGGGCCTTGATGTTCAGATGATCCAGGGTCCTGCTTTTCCTCCTCCACCTTGGCACTGGTCCTCAACCCCAGGACCTCCTCTGTGTCCTGGACGTGCTGGACTAGAGGTGGGGTCTTCTTCCCGCTCCGGTCCCTCAGCTCCTTTGGCAGCCTGTCTGTCATGGTCTGTTTCCCCACCCCGAAGTCCCTCCTGCAGTGAAAACTTCTAGAAGCTGTGCGGGTGCTTGTGCTCTTTGAGCACCTGCTTGGCAGAAAAGGCAGGGGCAGATCCACAGGTAGAAAAAGGCGATGTGTGGGTGCTGCCCCCACACAGGAGCCTGTGCCTCTGGCCACACCCGGGGGCTGGAACTCCTCACCCCACAGATCCTGGGAGACTAACTGTGGAAACTGACCTGCAGCTCCGCCCCCTCCACCAGGTCTGCTTTTCAAAGTAATCCACGCTCTTTCTCTTTTACAGAGAATCGCAAAAAAAAAAAAAAAAAAAAGTGCAAAAAGCAGGGAGAAAACCCTCCCGTCCCCACAACAATGCTGGCAATTTGACATATTTCTGTTGCTGAAATCCTGCCATTTTGTTTCCTGCTTTTCTCCCTCGATTTTATTGAACAGTCCCTTATGCAGTGTCTGCCTGGCACTGTACCCTGCTTCAGGCTGGCATCAGAATTTGCTTGACAATCCCCCTATTGTTGGGCACTCAGCTGGCTCCAGATTCCTTCCCCAGAAGCCGTGCATTGGCGAGTGCATCTTTTGCCCATAGGATTTGCCCATGGTTTAGATGTGTGCCTTTGGAAAATTCCCAGAAATCATTAACTTTGCTTGATCAGAGTCCTGTCTGCATTAAAGGAATGCCCTTCTGGGTGGCTGTTTCTGGAGGGGGGCGGGGGGCTCTTGGAGCAAGAGCTACACTTAAGCCATGAGATGCACCCCCTCCCCCGGAAGGTATACCATTGGCACTGGGGAAGTGCACCCCTGAGGAATGCTGTGGTTTGTCCCGTTCTGTTTTCCTGCAGCTAGCTGAGAGTTGATGGGCACTGGTGTGAGAGTAACGTAACATTTGCCTGCAGACTATGATGGAAGTGGTTTTAATGGCACCAAAGATGAAGTCTCCCTGGGCAGCTGGATCAAAAATGCTGAACTTTGAGCCCCACTCCTGATGTATGGGGGGGTGGGTAGGGACAGAGAGGCATTGAAGCACCCATGCTCGATAATTTAATCCAAAATGCTTAGGCCTGGAAACCTCTATAAAAACCCTAAAGGGCAGAAGTTGGTGACCTTCTGGGTTAGTTTGGGGACGGAGGGGGTTTGGAGAGCACCTGGAAGCCCTGCGCCCCTCCCCCACTGCTGGCCTGCCTCTCATCCATCCTGCAGCCCCTGAGTTACATCCTTTCATAATCAATCACTCATCTAGTAGATTTTTTAAAAATGCTGTTTTTTAAATGAACTTTCAATTTTGATATGAATCTCGATTTATAGAAATGTTGCAAAATAGTAGCCTACCCCTTCACCCAGCTCTCCAAACACTCATGTTTTCCACATTCAGTCTAGTGCGCGAGCCAGGGGCTGCCTTCCACGGCGGGAAGACTTTGAACTCATCTTCAGGCTTCATTCAGATTTCTCCTGTGGTCCCCGTGTGTCCTTTATCTGGTCCTGGATCCATTGATTTTTTTTTTTTTTTTAAGATTTATTTATTTATGCATACAAGAACTGGGGTAGAGGCCAGAGGTGCCAGGGGTGAGAGGATTCACCGGAGACAGAGTGGGGAGCAGAACAGGCAGATCGACTGAAGAGGAGCAGCAGAGAGGAGCAGCGGGTGAGATAGAAGGGGTCTGCTGCGCCATGTGGGTTGCTCCCTGGCTGGGGATGGAACTCGTGCTGCAGAAGCTGCGGACAGCTTCAAAGTGCAGTGTCTTAACCAGGGAGGCCCTGGATCCATTGATTTTAATTTTACTTTGATTTGCTTTTGTTTTATGCTGAATTTATTCCCAGGCCATAAGCTTTCGTTTCTTCTGGGTATCTTTTTTCTGCCGTGCAACCTATTCTGGTTCAGGAACAATCTGCTCTTTTTTGGGAACCGTGTCTCCATGTCGGGGCTCGTCCAACCATGAGCTCTAAGTTCTTTGACACAGCTGGGTGCTCCCTTCATCTGGATGTGCTCAGTGGCCAGAGATTCTGCCCCTAAACCCTAAGGTCAGCATTCTCGGCATTAAGTCTGTGGAGTGAAGATTTGGGCCACTGACCTTTGTGTCCAGCCCCTGTTAGGCCTGAGCCCCTGCCAACTCCACTGTTGTAGTACATCTGCGTTCACGGGTGTGTGCATGTGTGTGTGCACACATGTACGTGTGTATGCGTTTGCCACCCCACTGTGTAAGGATGGAATGGCCCGCATCCCCTCTTCGGAGCATTGTCCCAAGACAGTGGTGACCGTTAGCACATGCGCCCCTGGGCAGTTTCACGAATGTTCTTACAATGGACACGAGGGATAAAGGGAGTGAGAGAATTGCTGCAGAACATCTTTTTTAGAATCACTTTATTGAGGCCTGATGGACAGTGTGGACACCTTGGTGAGTGTGGTGACAAGTGTGTCCCTTGAAACCGTGGCACTCTTCCCTGCCATAAATATCTGCCACCTCCAGAGCTTTCTGGAGGTTTCCGTACCCTCTTCATTACTATTCATTTGTGAGAAGGACACGTAACTGAAACTCCCCCTCTGGAGAAGGTCTCAAGTTCAGAGGTCACTCCCATCTTCTTTCCCAGGTTAGTTTGCCCCTCCTCCCTCTCTCTAGCCCACGAGCAGATAGCTGTCACCCTCCGAGGCCCAGAGGGTGAGGGGTCCTCACCACAGTGGGAGAATCATCTTTGCACCCCACTTTCTTCCCAAACCTCCACCAGGAACGAGACCTTGAGTGAAAATCAGGTGACTGCCTGATCTGTCCTGGCATGTCCTTTGGGGGCTGGGTGGAGGGTGCATCCGGTGTGCGTGAGAGCCCGGTGCCAAGCCCCAGATCCGCCACTGACAAGTCCTGCGTGCAGTACCTGTGCGGGTGACTCACGGCTGCAGCAGGAGGGGATGTCGGGGTGCTGGGTGTGCAGGCCCAGCAAGGAGAGCATTTCCTGGTTGTCTGGCAGAGGTAAAGGAGCCTGTGTTCTAGCTCTAATCTCTGTCTTGTCAAGCAATCTTGGGCTGGGAGGTGGTTATTATTATTATTATTTTTTAAGGGCTTTATTTCTCTAGAGAGGGTTGAGGAGAGCCAGCCTGAGGGGTTTTGGGAAGCAAGGTGGATGGAGCTGCCCCAGTGCCTTTGCACCTGAGAGCTCCGTGAAGCTGAGGTGGTCTCTGAAAGTGGTGCTTCTCCTGCCCCATAACAGGCCTCCCTTGTACCAAACCCGCCCCCCTGGAATATGCAGTGAGCAGGGTCAGGTGCCCCAGCGGCCTGTCACTTCTAGCCCGGGGTGACTGCCCCCAGAGTGAAGGTGGTGCTTGCTTGGGGGGAAGGAAGTTTTGAGGGTGCTGAAATCTCAGCAACACAGCCTCGTGGGACTCAGTTTCTCTGTGCCTGTCAGCGTACAGTTGCCTACCTTGATTTTCTTTTTCTCTTTGAAACTCTCAACTGTCCAATTAAGGATTATGATGTCTGCCCTCCCCCCTCCCTCTCTGTCTGTCCCTCTCCCCTGTCTGTCCCTCTGCCCTGCCTCCCTGTGCCCTGTGCTCCGTGAGGTCACAACGGGAAGTCTTGGTGGGAGGAACTTGGGGGTGTTGTGATCAAGCCCTGCAAGGCCCTGTCTACCCCTGCATGTCCCTCTCCTGGGTGACTCCTCACCTCCTCACTGGGTCTTTTCTCCACAGCAGCAGCTCTTCCCAGGCTGAAGACAGGCTCCTGGTCTTCAAGTATTCTTATGATTCGCATCAGAATAAATGACTGGGTGATCTTGCTGAAGATGTGTATTCTTGGCAGCCACCCCCACCTGCCCCTCACCTTTGTCAGCTCTGATTTAGTGTGTGTGAGGGCAGAGGAGTGCTCAGGTCTCTGGGTGTTTAAGACGTTCCCCTGGACTTTCTACAGAAGGAGGGAGTAGGCTGACGTCTCCCCAGCCAAAGCAGGAATGGAGCCTTTTCTCGCTGAAGCTTCCCAAGCCAGGAAGCTTCTCTCTTTGTCTTCCTCCAGGAAGACTTCCTGGCTTACACCACCTGGTCTGGAGCCCCACATGCACTTATTTGATGCAGATCTTGAAATGGGGTGCCCTTCGTGCTTGGTG